GGTACTGACAATTTAATGGTCGGACGACGCTATAATTATAATTATATGTTTTTTAACAGAAAAAAATAAAATGCTCGAGCGAAACCATTTTCATCTCTCTTATACAGTAATAAATTCCTTGCTACTACTTGTTTCGCTCTGTCTGACGCACTCTGTATGCTTCTTGTTACCTTGTACGGTGTGTCTATCTATCTATGTACGTCTATATGTATAATTCTCTGGCTAGTTTGATTTTGCATTGTTTTTGTCGCTTAAGTTTTCGTTCAAATAGAAATAACCATAGAAGAATGTCGTCACATTCACGACTCTATCGTTCTGCTTAATGCAACGAATAAAAAATGAGCATTTCCTTATGGTACCTTTTTCCTTATTAATTTGAATTAAAAGCGTCAAATCGGATTTTCAACATCGCCACAAAATATGTCTACACAATGTTAACGTTGAGGTCGTAGCTATTAAACGTAAAATGCCATTTGTTTTTGGTCAAAGTGAAATGAATTTGAAAAAAAAAAACCAACCATTTTGTGGCCAAAAGCCATTCAACAATACACAACATTGACTGATCTTGCGGCCAAACACTTTTGATTTTCCAGCGGCACATTGTTCAGCGTTCATTCATTTCTTCGGCAAATAATTTAGAGATTCCGACGAGATTGTCGTGGTGCTTGAGCATATCGACATTGAAAAATGTGCAAAATCTTTTTAACAGTTCGTTGCCATAGAGCAACCTGCGTTCGGATGGTTTTTTCGCTTATTTAAGCTTTAAATGCTTTACAAGATTGTATGGAATTTTCATTTTTCCATTATTCAAACACGATTTGGGGGCTTTTTGTTTATTGAAATTGTTTCTCACTTCAATCGTGAGATGTCTTTCGATTTCGTGCTTGTAGTATAATTATTATTAGCATTGTATTTATTTTGCTGTTGGCAATTTTTTTGTCGATTTAACATTCAAATGGCCGTGACAAAGTTGCATCGCGGCTGGATGTCTTTCTTGAAATTATTATGTGAGAAGAAAACATTGACAACAATGTTGCGCACACCCAAACTGGATGCTTTTCGAGTTTATTGCTCACGTTGTGCACGAAGAAGACTTTAGTCAGAGCAAATAGTATGGATGCGAGAAAAATAAACATATTTACTTTGATTAAATTAATATATTCCACGTTCCGGTGCGTATTATAAAAAAAACAGCTGTTCAAACAATAAATTAGTAGAGTGAATTGTTCTCGTTCATTTCTGAAAACAACACAATGTTGTTTTAAACACATTGATAATTATAGCGATAAAACACTAAATTCAATAACACTACATTTTTATTCACTATGCGAATTCTGAAATAAAAGATTCGAACGCAAAGTTGTGGTTCATTCATTTTCAGATGACATTTCAATAACTTTTCTATTTAATGTGTTACAAATGGTGGATTATGAATTGGCCGGTTGTTCAGCCGGTGGAGAAATGGATAAGGTGCTTCATTATTGCTTGGATACCAAATTAATTAATGATTGAAAGAGTGCCATGGCGTAGGTGTTGTGTTAACACGGCAATAACATTCCACCATTTTTATTTGATCATTAATTACTGTGATCAATGTATATTGGATGCGCATATAGGTTTTTGATTAGTCTTTCGAACCCAATTAAATTGATTTCTTATCAACATTTGTGTCGAAGATGCTCGACACCCAAATACCGCCACCAAATTTACATAAATATGAATTAATAATTAGACAGAAATTCATTCGATGCCACACTGATTACCGCATGGCCTGGCGCTGTGTTAGTCCCATAAAAATCTTAGATATGCCAAACGATTGCCGATTTCTGATTATGTATATTTACAATTTTATTTTTGTGACACACTTTTGATGCATATACTTTTTCGCCAATTTAGTGCGCTGTGATTCCTCATCAAAAACTCAGCCATTGTGCTGTTATTTATTGTGTCAGCAATGAGCTAGCCGCCAATCGAAAGTTTCAATTGCAATGTGATGCATGACTGAGTATTAAGTTGATTTATTGAAGAACGTTACGCGAGTAATAAAGAAATTATTAATTAAACTATTCAATACATTCATTGGCATAAATGAAATAGCACAATAAACATAAATTGTAATATAACACACACACTCGGCCGTCGACCTCAGTGTGTGGTCCAATTATATCGTATTTTAACTATCAAATCGAATTCATGCACCATTCAGGCGATGAAAATAAAAAAAACATGTTTTTGATATATTTTCAAGAAAAAAACTCATGTTTTTCAAACACAGTAAATATGCTTTTTAAATCGAAATTCATATTTTGACAGATAATCACTCTTTCTGTTTGCCACTCATGAAATCGTTTCGCAACTTCTACGTGCGCACGAATTTATTCATTTCTTCATGATTTTTTTTTTGCAGTTGAACTCTTCGTAGAACAATAAACGTCAATTCTCATTTATGCTGTGATCAACGATTGCAATTTTCTCAGTTGAATTGCTTAGTTTCAACAATTTCATTGAAATCATTTAAAGTGTAACGTTTTGTTTTTAAGTTTGAGACAATGGACGATGATGACGTTGTTGTTTTTATTTGTATTTTTTTTCATCAGAACGAAGCAAATAGTAATTATCCAAATTGCTGGGTTGTCCATTTCCATGACTGTTGAACAAACCGGAAAAATAATTCAATTACTGGCAGAGCAAACAGTGAAACATTCGAATTCAATGTCTTTGACAAAAAAATAAGAACAAAACTAAATGGTGTGCGGCATGATGATGATGATGAACACATCGAGCTGGAAGCATGAACTCAACATATTTATTTCATTTTATTTTTGGAATTCGTGTCGTCAATCCCACCCGAGACCACCTATGGTTTCGATGTTTACATAGGCCATTGTTATTCAAAAGAGTATCATTGTTTATGGTCACGAACATAATTCGCAAAAACTCATAAATGAATTTGTTAATACTATCTTCTGTTGTTGTTTTTTTTTTTTGCGTAACTGAAAGAGAAAACGCGTTTTTGACTATAAACTTGAAACAAGAGTACATCAAACGAAAGCTGATAAGCGATTTTGCTCTTTAATCCGCATTTTTGATGAAAGAAAAAAGCGGCGATGAATTCTTTGTCATTATTATTATCTGGCATCTGGCAGTGAGATCAAAGCAAATTTTTGCGAATATTTCGAAATGTTTATGCAATTTGCAAAATAAATGCGGGCGATTTTATGACTACCATCACATTGTATTGCCCCATAAAACAATCGCAAATGCGGTCCGTTCAAAAAAAAAAATTCCAAAATATCTCCATGGACTTAATTCATCGAGTAGGTATAATTTCAACACCTTGCTCAATGCTATATTTCCATTTTGCCTGCACTAACTTTGGGAATATCGCATTGAAATCAACCGAGGTGGAAGGGTGAAAGAACGAATGAAATTAATCATATAAATAAATCGGTATTTTCTTCCACTTTATCGGACATTTTTACTTTGCCATGGATTTTTTTTTCTGTTTGGAATGTATCATAAAAAAACTTGACGCGGTACCATTAAAGAGAATGTTCAAAACGAAACTGAAGTAAAGTAGAAAAAATGTAAGCCAAATGGATTCGCACGAGTGTCGCGAAAATCTTGAACGAATGTTGTCACCATTTATTATACTACCACAATTTTGCTTTCAATCGATATTCGGTGCACAAAAAAACACACTTCAACAGGTAAATCTTCTGCTTGATTGAATATTTAAAAAAAATGCCGCAAATTAAAATAAAACCTCACTGATGAGTCATATGGTTGAAAGTTCATTTCTGATTTTGATTTTAATGGGATTTCGATTGATTCGAACGCAGCGTGACTCGCATCATATAAGTAATTTGTAACGTTTTTTTTCACTGCGGTTAATCAAAATTATGGGCACGAAACTAATGATTTTCAAGTGAAAAAAATGACATTAAAAACTTCACAATAGCTAATTGATAAAAAAAAGAACAAACGAGCTTAATGAAAAAAAGAAAAGCCCGAACGATAGCTTTTAATTGGTTAATTATGTTCGATTCGTGGTGTTTGTATGAATGAATTTAATGAGTTTCTTCCTTAAAAAGACGATATGATGAATTGCCAAATTTTATGGCAAAATTTATTTAATTTATCTTACATACTATACCAGAGCCGCTTCATAAGCGTAAATTTCACCTGAATGTTTCGTGTACTTTTTTACGCACAATTCCATTATTAACTATCATATGTTCCACACATTGTAATCATGCCTTGTGTTGTTCGACATTCAATAGTTCTTGACAATGTATAACTCTTATTGCTTTTTTCTTTAATGTCGAACAATAAAAGTGGATATCTTTCCCGTTGGTTGATTCGTAATCGTTTGTGGTTCATGATTCTACTGATGATGGAAGGTTTAATTCACTTCACGCCTTTTTGACGATGTATAGACAAAGCATTAAGTTCCGTGTTCATTAAATACAATATCCAGCTACTGGACAGTACAATATCATAACCGAAGGCAATACAAGAACAACACATACTCAAAGATGGTACTCATTAGATTGCTATTAAAGCTTGATTGGGTTTCTCTCGGAAAGACATATACACATAAAAAAAATGACAAAAGAAATGAAGTGAATTGCATGTACTCTGGCGTGAGATGATGAATAGAAAATAGCTTCGTACGTGTCATCATTTGAAAATGATTTTTTCTCTGTGCGCCACAAGAAAATGTTCGTGCTTATGCTGTGCCCAGTTGCGGCCAACATAAAAATTATTGTCTAGTTCAATCGAAGAATAGAAAAAACAAGCGACACATCCTATTCCTATTTGAATTGGTTTTTTTTCTTGTCGGATAGTTCAATAGTTTGGAATTCAAAAATAACCGAAAGAAAAGTTCTTTTCATTTCCATTCAGCCAAACTCAAGCCTCTATTTCTTTAATGAATAACAATCTAAATACAAGGGCGAGAATAAAAAAAAAAAAAACAATCTCATGATAAAACATACCACGTTCAATTTCTCCATTAAAATGTTTATCTGATTTTTTGTACACATCTTGTCTGTTTGTTGCTGTCTCTCTTTGCTATTGTTTCGATTCTCTTTATTGAGAAGTTCACAGGTTGATTTTGTTCTCTATGGTTTTTTTCTTCTTTTTCTTTGCACCTCCTCGTTAGGTTCTTTATAGTCTTATGGGTTTATTTTAAGAACTGTTTCTTTTTTGCGTTCTACTGACATTCAACCATTCTTGGCGGCGGCGGTGGCGGCGATTGTTTAGATTTTCCGTGTCTATTATTGTGTTAAACGATTTATAGTTACAATCATTAATGGATGTTACATCAAAAATGATCATTTCGACATTTTGACGATGATGGTCGTTTTGTTGTTATAATGAATTGTACGGAAATCGATATCCGTTCTTGATCGCTGATTGTTATGTTATACCACTATCATTGATGATATTCAATGTTTATGCGAGGTTTTTTTTCCATTGAATAAAAATCCACAATTTTTTAAAGATTATTTTCATAGTCACATTGACATTTTGCGTCGTTTTACAAAATGGTATCTGCATCAACTTAACAAATTAGCCTTAAAATGATCACTGATTAAAAATCTTCGATGAAGGATTAAGTCAAAATGTTCGATCAGTCAAATCAAGTGTTTTGCGTTGTTTTGCTAACGCTTTCTGCCCAAACACAAAATCAAGTTCGTATTTTATTGAATGCAATGGATTGTCATTATTGCTTTTGTATTACTTAAATGACACCAAACCGAATGACCTTAATCAATAATAATGTTGTGAAATCTAAATTAATAGAATTCAAATTTTTAAAAATAGCCACAGCACACAATGTTTTACATTTCACCGTATTCTATCTAGTCGATTCGCTTGATACTCAAAGAAAGGTGAAAAGTTGTTTTAAAACATTCAAATATTCAGTAAACTTGCATTCACTTTCCGGATTACTGGTTTTTATTTTGAATAGTAAGCAGTTCGGGTTACTGTTTATTGTGTATTATTCAAACCGAATGATATTAATTTTTTGGTAGTTTTTCTGCTCACAATACCTATCTGTAGATTGCGTTACACTCAAAGTTTTTTGTGAGGTGTCGATTAATATTTCATGTTTTTTCTGTAAGTTTTGATCGAATTGCAAGTGAGAACGAAGTATTCACTGTCCCACTAATGACACTTGATTCATTTCTTGGTTTGCGCTTTAAATGTTAATGTTCCAATCTGGTTTCAATAGCCCGCATATTTGTGGTAATAACCACATTATCGTTTTTTGCCAAGTGTCGATAAGGTTGTTAATAACAAAAATGTGTGAACACCAAAAAAGTTGTCTGCCTGCATCAACACCAACAACCATTTGCACAACACAAAATAGTTTCAATTAAATAGTTCACTGCAATTTTCTACAAGGTATAAGACACTTTGAACATATTTTTTCATCGCACAAATAAAACATTACACATTTTTATTGTTCAACTTCAGATATGTTTCTCTCTCTTGATTGGTAAATGTTTTTTTTTTAATTCATCCGGAAACTTCTTTTGATTGACTTAATTCCGATAATAGATTTTTTCGTGAAGAAAATTAATAACACAAAATACTGAAGCCATCGGTAATAGCACAACATTACGATCGAATGGACCGCGCGTGAATGTTTTTCAAAAAGCGAACAACGTAATGTTTAAGCCGACTTGCGCTTGCATGCTTGAGGTTTGATCGTCGCTGTTGTGCAGAGAGTGAGAGAATAAGAAAAAAAACCTTACACGGAATGCGCGTTAAGGTGTTTTGCCGCGTACAAGCAGCTGGTTATGGTATATATGTTGAGTATGTGAAGAAACAATGATGTTGATGACTGCTACGGCTTAATCTCGTGCTGCATGCACATCGCATACTGAACGAGAGACTCTTGAAATAGAGCTTCAAGAGCCAATAGAGAGACATACTCTTGCTGTCGTAGTTTGCGGCGTGGTTTGTTTATGTTTTCACCGAGCAAAGCATACACACCACAGGTGCTTGATATAATGATAAATACACACTCAACTTGCGGATAGTTTGTGGTACACGTATGCGAATTTGCCGTAGGTCGTGATGTTTGTTGCATATAGTTAAACCAAACGAAACTACCGCACCGAAAAATCGTAAAGAGACGAAGAATCCGAAAAATTCAACGTCGTCGTATCGGCAAACTTGGCATGTCACCTCCACCAATTCGATACAAAAAAAACATTTGCTAATACTATCATTTAATAGAAAGTTGTTATTCGCTTAGCATATCCATTTTTCCATGTTTTATGCTTACGGTGAAAATATTTGATTCGGATGGCTAATGCCATTGTCGGTAAACATATGTGAGCAAATGAATAAACTAAACGTGCGCGCGCTCTCATACGATGGTGTGTCAGTATTTTAGTCAAAGCATGCGATTCAATTTAGCCGATGCATCGAGCGACATTGGCTTGAATTTCCAATCGTTGATGTGTTGTTGTTGTAATACACATTGGTATGGTATGCATATCATTTGTAAAATGTTAAGTTCACTAAAACGATGATACCAGAAAAATGCATGAGACAGGTTTCTGAACGCGATACATAGATTTTTGTCTACATTTTTTTTTACCTAGACACAGAATGAGCATTTTTCAGACACATAATTATGCAACCTTCATACAATATTGCATTTTCGGATATCCCAATGTATCGTTACACTATTTGGGCATTTATTGTAACGTCAAACATTCACTTAATTTCGATTGTGCATATTTTCACACAGCACGCAAAGAATCAATAAAAAGCCCACAGATTTGGTTTTTATAACTTATCGAAATCGGTAATTAATCGATCGTAAAATCTTCTGTGGTAAATTTCCAAAGCCAGAAAGTAAACAAACCAGAAGCAAATCTTAAGTTAAAGATGAAATTGATCTTTCAGTTGTTATTTTAACATGGACCAAATGATGTGCGTGCTGTTTTTTTACATAATGTTAACACGATTATACACGATACGTTCGATTACAACGCATAAAAATGCTTGGCACATGAAAAATGAAACCGTGCATATTTTTATGCAAAACCGATTGATGCAATCCAACAAAAAACCATGTAAAATATTTATATGTTTGTTTTCGTTCATGATGAAGATCATCAAAATTTATTCGTAGCAAATGTTACAAAAAATACGTACGTTATACCGTTGATGAAATCAGATTGATATAAGAATGTCACTTGATTGAAGCTTCTGCGTAATTTTACGCAGCAAAGATTGTGATCTGTTTTTAGCGGTGCTGTATTTTGAACAATAAAATCAAATGAACTTCGGACTGATTATGATGAAGCTCTTATGCAAACATGTCTCTTTTGCGCGATGCGCCTACATTCTTTATTCAAAATTACATGCTTAAGCTCACGCATCAATTCACAATGAGAAAGAGATGGACATAAATTAAATGAAAATCGATAATAATTTTTATGATGCCAAAACTGACACGCACAAAATTGCCGTAATTAATTACATGCGCCGTAATTGGTTGACGCTGACTTTTCTGGTTGTGTCCATTTTGAGTGTGTGGACGGCATTTTATTTGCATTTCGTTTTAATGTTATATGAGCGCAACCTGTCAATTTTATAAAATGGTTTTAATGAGCCAAAAAATGTCATGCCATCCAAAATTATTCGGTCACATTCTAAACATGGTCATAAATGCATTAAGCGACTAAGTCACAAACATATTATTATTATTTGAATATAAAGTGACGGCCGAAGAAAAATTGCTTCCTGCAACAAAGGTGCACGATACCGAACGTTTATTTTCTTTTACATAAATTTAACATTTATCTATGTTATACAGACATGAAATTTTATTCTGTTGTTCAAACAAATTACCGTTTGATGTTTCGAATTTATTTCGCCCGCCAATTAGCCAATAAAAGACATTAACTTTGATCGTCGTTCGCATATGCACTCTCTCAAACATTCCATGAGAAATAATCGAATTAATGGACACATCTTCCACAAAAAAATGAAGTATAAAATACGGTCAATGATCACACTTACCTTTGTTTTCTCTGATGAAATTGAATCTTTGCTTGTCTCTTATTCCGTTGAGAGTTCTCGATTTTTATTCAGCCACCCACGTGGTTGGCATTAAATAGCTCTGCTTTCCAAAGGGTCAGAGAGAGAGAGAGAGAGAGAGATCTGAAAAAGTCATACAAAAAACAGAATAAAACATACATAAGAAATTGGCTTTTATTTGCATTCAGTGTCTTCATTAAAAACTTAAATGTATATCAAGCTGAAGAAATGGCAAACAAATTTATAGATTTATCGATTTGCGTGTTTTCTGTTTTGAGTGGCGAACGCAAGCACGCTCACATTTTCAACGTAAAAGTTTGACCACATTTCATCTCGTCTATGACATAAATTATCATTTATCGTAGCGAATTTTAATGGCTTTTTTTGCTTTGGTGTATTTTGTCTTTGCATATGAGATGCGCTGTGTCAACGCAATGAATTGATTAGTTTGGTTGATGTTTTCATTTCGTTTATTTTATATTAAAATACAGTTGGAAAAAAGGCAGATGGAGCAGTACAGAAACTAAGTAGTTTTCTTCTAATTTGCGATGCGCAATCGGGAATTCGATCGGTATATATAACCTAATGAAATAATCAATTAACAAGTCTTTGTTAATACAAAAATAACGAAAAAATAAAGTAAATACAATTTATAAATATGCGGTCGTATACAGGTGTTTCATTTCGGCGATATTGTTTCAAATGTGTATTTTGCAATCGAAGAGTGAATTTGATAGACTCAAAGTGTTTGGTGGCCCTTTGGACCTTTTTGTGATGGGCATCGTCTTCTCATTATTATAAATAATTCATTTCGAAATCAAGATATACAGACGTAACCAATGAACATATGGAATGCAGAACATACGATTTTTTATTTAAGCGTTTTCATTTTTATATATATCGAACCGGTTGAAATTGTGTCAACATTCGCGAAAAGCACACAAATACTTTAATCTGTTTATTTTTATGTGTTTTCTTTGGAATGTTAACCACAGCAGGGCGATGCATTTTTTTTTGTAATTCGTAAAACCTGCCGTGATTTATAGTCATAGTGTGATGTAGCTGTCATTCTTTGCTATCGAACAATCGCTGACGATCGATTGGCATTTAGAAATTTAAAGTATGTGTGCTTTTGAATCCAATTAGAATTCGATTGCTAACAAGCAAACAAATGCGCTCGCAAAATCCCATTTATATTCACATTGTTATAAACGAGAAAATGTGTTTGTAGGTATTTCCGTTGCACAAACCGATTACGATTTCTGACGCCTGAAATTTCTGACATGAAAAAAAATATCTCTTTGAACATTTTACACAAACACACACACGCACACGCAAATCCCATTTCAGAATTAGAACATATTTTTTATTTGTTCACTGACGTTTGTGTTTACAGTTTACGATTGCAAAACGAAAGTGGGCTTAAGAATATGCCACGATTGCATTTCGACCACATTATGAATGAGAAGAAAATCGCTTCCAACACTTTTAAATCCAAATAAATCTTCTAAATATAAAAGCGGTGGCATGACGGAATTGTTTTTTTTTTTTTTTTTTTTTTTTATAAGCATACAGAGTGAACATTTCAAAAAAAATCACACCAACAGATAGAAACGGGGGAAATATGAATGTACAAAACGCTCATTGTAGGAAAGCCAATATACAATCCTTTAAATTATGTTTGATGAACACTAAACTTTTATTACTTACGTCTATGTTCATGTAACTGGATGGCCAACACTTCAAGTTGGATATTCTTTCACTGCAAACGATTTAAATGTTTACATTAATAATAAGCCTACATACACATGCTCTGTTTTGAATATTAATTGAGAGGCATTGTGCGCGCGCATTGTGTTGTTAAATGTATATTGATACTGGCCAATGTGCGCATAAAAACCAACGACGGAAAAAGTGAGTTTTTAGTACGCAGAAATAGAGAAATTTTTCAAGCGTTCCATCGGTCAACGTTCATTTGTATTCGGGGCGAGAGTAGTGACTGTATTCTATTTAGATTAGACTGCACAAAAATCAGTGACAACAAACGTAACGTCGCACTTTTAAAGCAAAAATAGGCCATCAATATCTCTTGTCCAATCTGTAATTTGAAATTTCTATTTTTTTTGTTCATTGCATATCAACGACGGACAAATGCTTTTGTTTGATGTTGAAGCAGTCATCAAACGATTTCCATTTTGAATCATAAATTCCAGGTTTTAGTGATCATGACGATGTAAACAAAATTTTTTTTTTCGATTTTTTGATTAAGTAATCAAAACCAAAGGCACAATATAAATGGATATAATCGGGTTCAAAATTGTCTTGCAAAATATCGGATATTTCCAGATTATAAAAAATCGTACAAACAATGACGTCAACTGATACTTGCACTGAAACGAATGGAGCATGAGTTGCATTAAAAGTACGTCTTTGATCATTTGCAAATTTGTTTTTGTTGATGATTTTATTTTCAGTCTTAAATTCCAGATGCAATCACGTCGCCACTGTAACAAGAGTTCTTATGGACAAAAGCAAAAACAATTTTACATTCAACAAAAAAACGAATCGTAAACAAACAATCGGTGTACTGTTTTCTTTCACTGCAAATAACAATGTAAAATAAGTGAAGATCGATGGCCTGTCCAAGTAAACACATGCGTACGAATTGAATGTTTCACCAAAAATATTTCGATTTTCAACAACATTTATGACAATCAAAATATTGAGAACGTGGTTCGACTTCATAATCGTTAGCTGCCTTTTCAATGCAAAAGTGCTCTCATTATCATTGACCAATCCCAATCCGCTTTCATAATTTTCACCATTCAAATTCAATCGATCTCAAGCATATTCGTATTATAATTTGTGCATTGAATTGAATGGCTTTTGGGGGCGAGTCAATAACTATTGACAGAAATGGTTTGCATTACAAATTTTCAACAAGAATTTCAACGCCTTCAATCAGCAAGCAACTCATTAAACATCAGGATCAAAGTGCCCATTAAAAATTGCATTTATTTACATTTAAAAATAATCAGTTTGAAACAGAAGTCATGTACTATTGTTGTATGATGATGCATATCTAAAGGAATTTGTAACAATGTTCGAATGGCCTTTTTAGGAAGTGTGACATATGTTCTCGATTCGATTTCGATGTGTTCAAAGAACTATAAGATTGATATATAAATGTATATAAAAAAGCACCAAATAATTGGCGTCTGATGCTACCACCAAAAAACATACATATTAATTCGATTTTAGTTTCATGCATGCGCTATAAAAAACGGAACGAACAATAGGGCTCCTGTCGCCATGGAATGATATTTACAATTTATACCTCACTGTTGAAATGTTTTCACAAATTTATTTCAATCTTTTCGTAACACTTTGCCATTCGACACATTCGCCTGCCTCAGTGGAAACACAAATTCATTGTAATGTTTAACGACTGCCGAATATCAAAGCAGAAAATGTATGCCCGCCTGATTCATCAGCTTTAACGTCGCCTTAAAGCACACTCTTGGCATATTTGTGTGTTTTATGTTCGGTCTGTTTTGTGTGTTATTGACTCGCCTGTTTTTATAAATAAATTTGCATTAAAAAGAGTAAAAGCTGAATGTGCAGCACGACCGCACTTTGAACTGTATACATTTCCAGTTTAGAATCAGATGCGCGCTATCGCTCGCTCTATTGGCGCCGCAACATTTAATAATTTAGCTTTTGGCATAACATCTCTTTTTTTGTACTGTTCAATTCTTTTGTTTGCACAAGAAATGTAATTTCAAATGTCATGCTTCTACTTATTTTCTCAATTTTTGTGTATTTCGATAAAAAAGATCTCAAAATGCGATAAATTTGTTTTCTCAATACTACAAATTTACTTCATCGTAAATATTTTGTTTGCCGTGTTGTGTTTATGAGCGTCGAGTAATTGAAATAGACTCGATGCATTCGCTGAACATTCTCTGCATCGCGGTGTTTTTAAGTGCATCTTTCTCGCATCTTAAATTCTCTAGTGATTCAGAGCATTCGATTACATATTAGCATTTTATTATGTGGTGAGCGAATCAGTGAAAAAACTTCACGGGAGTTTTATTCAAAATGAATGCAACTTTTACGATGTGAATTCTCTCAATAAATGAAGAGTATTTTTTTTTGTTCAACAAAAAGACAAAGGTAAACGTGGCCGATTTCCATCAACCAAAATATTTCCAATAATAGAAATGTATCTGCTAGAAGCAACAAGAAGATGTTAAAATTGATTATTATTAAGAGTTTGAAAGTGGTTTTGATTTGACATTTGGAAAATTTGGATTGGATCATATCATTTTAATTGATCATAAATGTAATCCAAAACAAATAAAAAAATACTAGTATCTTTTAATGTATATATGGAAAAGACCGATGAATATTAGAAACACGCGTCGCGCATCTTCATTTGATGGACAGATGCATTTGAATAAAATAACATCTGTCACATGCGGAGAAAGAGAAAACGAACACGATTTCAACACATTTGGAACGTGATATTTTTAGCGCACGTATGGCCGTTTTTTTTTCTTTTAAAGTGCACCTTAAAATATATGAAGTGATGCATTATAAATATCATTTATTTTTTTTTCATATTGATTGATTGGTTGATTTCTTGTCATCTACCGTTATGCAATTCACTTTTCTCATATGTCACACACACACAATTTAAATCAATCGATTTTTCACCGCAATTTTTGTACAAAAAAGGTTTTTTTCTTTGAACTTACATATTGCACAATTTAAAGAGCACAAACAAGTTTCCGTTTAGTTCTCGATTATACAAAGTGAAAAACATCTGCGCCTATGCGAACGTTCATCGATAAACTGAGCAAAATACATTAACAATTTGTGTTTTTTTTTCATTTTCAGAGACAAAATAAGTAACACATGAAAAAAAGTTTTGTTTAATTATTCTGTTTTGATTTGTAGAGAGTCTTTTTTTAAACTCAAAGCGATGTCTGAATGTGGTGTTCTATCCAATTTATTCTATTGTAACAACACGAAACTAATTTGAAGCGATGTTTTTGTAAGCACGTGCTCCCGTTGAAAGGTTTTTTCGACTTTTTTCAAGTTATAACAATTTATGTACGAGCCAATACAATTGTTTAAGATTAAGCGTATTCTGATGTACAAAAAAGTTATAATCAATGTAATATAAATTGCTTTTTTAGCACTTTTGTACGTACTTGTTGCTATTGGTTTTATTTACTTCGTTTGCTATGCGATGGAAATAACGCTATATACATATGATATAGGTACATGTTTTATTTCACAAAAAATCGTTTCTATGACGACATTATACAATGTTTCCTCGTGTAAACAAAAGCCAGTCGATAATAAATGTAGTCGTGTTAATATTATTGAAACTTCATTTAACAAGTTAGAAAAGAATCAAACAATTTTTTATATATTTTAGTTTTTTATATATATGCATCATGGAGGATGGTGACGAATTAGAATTGAGTGATTATTCTGAAACTATTGATGAAGGTATTTTTTTTTTTAAAATCTAATTGAATTCAAATTACATAGATACATTAAAAAATTGTCATTCATTTTCATTGGAAAAGTGGTTGAAGTGTCGGTGGTCAGCGCACAAGAAGAACAGAAACCAAAACCAACGTATTCAGCAAAAGATTTGAATGAGTTAATCGCCGCTTTAAAGAGAATGGTCTTTTTGAATGGGATCAAAGAAAGCGATTGGAATGACGAATGTGACGAAGTGATACAAACATGGTTCATGGACACAAATCATCTGATTTTGATTGTATTTTTTTCGCCGATACAACGTTTGGCAGTTAGTTTGAGTTATCCGACTGAACCAGTGCTTGAAATTGTTTATTTTTTACGTAATCCCGATCACATATTCACATTAGATAATTTTCATGACGATGTTACATTCGGACAAATCAATGACGATGTGGATGGAACATTTTTATTGCTGATGGAAAAATTGTATACCCCAATATTTTTTCACAAAACCGATTGGAGTGATACGAATCGAGCACAATTCTTAAATTCAGTCCACTCATTTCTATCACATATGACATCATTGCACTACAAATTATCCGGATTAACATATTTGTATGTGCCAAGTGAAGGTTTGGTTAATGACGTCGACAAAGCAGTCGAAGACTTGGAATTAGTAAAACGTTTGGAAATGATAGCCGAACATTGGATTATCCAGCTAAGAATTTGCTTAAGCGATTCGGAACAAGTGGTTCCATATGAACTGTTGTGCCCCATTGATGAATATGAATTTTGGATTTATCGATGTAAGCTAGACATTGAACTTGGGTTTTTATATAATTTTTGATTCCAATCGTCTTAAAGTATTTTCATTGACTTTATGATCTTTTTCTCCAAAGGCGAGGTACTTCTGGCCGTCAAATATCAAGTTAACCACAAGGATTTTTTAAAAGTCGTTTCCGTTTTGCGTAAATCACAATCAATATTTATACAACCATTGGACGGTATCATTCTGTCCATTGAAAAAGAGATTGAACGTGCTCAGAATAATGTTAGCTATTTGCAGTTGCTGATCGAACCATGCAATGAGTTAACGTCCGTTGATTCGCCAGCTGACATTCCATTGCAATTGCCTCAAATCATCAATATCATTCGATTTATTTGGTTAAACTCTGGCTTTTATAATACCGTCAATTTAGTGACCAAACTCTACCGTTATGTTGCCAATCAAATTATTAATTTTTGCTGTCAAAAAATAAATATTCCCGAAATTTTCAACGGTAATGTTTTGAGTCAAATTAAAGTAGCGAATATGTCGATCGACTGTTGTTTATACTACAAAGTGATTTATGAGAAGATTTCACAAATGGCAGGAAATGAAGACTGGAAATTAAATGACTGTTTAATTTTTAATCACACTGATTCGTTCATAAATCGTGTACATGATTTCATTGAAATTTGTGAAGGAATCATTATATTCTCACGAAAACCGGCAACGGAACATCATCAACGGCTACTGTTTGGCGGAGATCGTGGCCCTGAATTCGAGAGAATTTGTGCACGTATCGAAACAACATTTGAGAAAGGCATTGCAAAAATAAAACGAAATTCACATTCAATTTTGAACATTAACGAAAAAACTTGGCCAAAAATCATGCGAGAATTTCGTGAAATGACTTCAAATTTGGAAGAAATAATCGATATTTTAATCATAAATGTATTTACTCGCGTTGAAAATGTTGAAGATGGAATCTATGCATTGGCATGTTTACACAAATTTTCAACACGAAACAAACTTCATAAATCATTTGAACGAAAAGTCGTAACAGTTTGGAATCTATTGGCCAAAGAATTGTCCATAACAAATGATCAAGTAGTTGAAGATGAAAACGAACATCTTTCGTATTTACCAAAGGTTGCCGGCCAAGTCATTCAGTTAAAAGTGAATCGTATGCGACTCGTCCGCCTGCGATCGTTATTCGAACAAAACGAATGGTTACCGGATTCAATTGATACGGCTCAGATCTTATCCAATTACAAAACGATTATTACCAAAATGGAAAAAACCACTCAAACGCTGTTCGACGAATGGATTCAGTCGCTTGGTGTTGATATCGCATCAAAACTTAATCGATTGCTATTGAAGCGAAGTTTAACGCACAAAGGCCTATTTGAGTGTAATATTGATGAAAGTATTTTCACACTATTCAGAGAAGCATGTTTCTTTCAAATGCTTGGATTTGGATTTCCGGTACATTTGAATCAATTTTTCAGCCGAGAACGAGCCATTCGTCTTATTTACGATAGCATTGTTGAGATGATTGCGTCGTATAATCGGATATTAATGTCACTTTCAGAAATGGAACGATTATTGCTGCAACCGTTGATTCAAATATGTGACAAATGCATTGCGCCCGGTGCACTCAAGATCGTATGGGCCAGCGATGGCTTGGACATTTACTTTAATGATTGTAATAAAAGTATTCGAGATTTAAACGATTTTATTCGAATGTATCGACAAACCAACGAACAGATTGTTTGCAGTTGTGAACGACTTTGCGAAATTGTTTCGATTGAAATACCAAAAGGAAAACCACGCGCATTGAATGAGATCGAAGAAATGGTCCAAAACTATTTGAACAAACAGACCAAATGCGTTGAACACGAATTCGATCGGGTGTGCAAATTGACTTTGACTATTCGTGATGAAATAGCAGACATCGATATAGTAAGTAATGCTGTCATGGAAGATTTTGGTCATTGATTATCTTTATTTTGTTTTTTTCTCTCTATCTCCTCTTTTTCATAGATTGAAGACCTTTGGATCGATTATGTATTAAAATTCGATAAATTAATTGAAGAAGCGCTAACAATAAGTGCACGTGAATCGTTTCGATCAATTTTTTGCACATTAAACGGTAATGGCATCTTGGGACCGGATTCATTAATTCATGTCGTTCTTGATGTCGAAGATAGAATGGTAATTACATATTTTTTGTGATTTTTTTTTGCTCTAAAAATGTTTCGATGATTACATTGTTATTTGTCTCTCCAACAGATCATACAAAGTCCAAGTACAACGGAAATACGCGCTATGTTCAAAAGCATTTTTGAAAAACTGTCTCGACCACAACAGGCAATATCACGATTATTAAAAGCATTGAAATTACCTTCGTCCGAACATTTGCTCGAGTATTTTGAGGTCATATCAAATGACACCGAATGTTTACGTTTGCAGTCAAAAATACACAAGGAAATCGAACACAATGAAGAAAAACTGAAAGAATATGAAGCGCATTGGATGCAATTTTCGCATATTTGGCAGTCTGATAAGAGTAAAATTATCACTGAATTTGAATTGCTTGAGACTGCAACGGCTTCGAAGTATGATCAGAGAATTCAAGAGTTTATCGCATTATCCAATCAAGTTGCCGTTCGTGAAGTGTCGAAAAAAGTAAATTTCATGTCTGTTGATGCGACAAAACTACGTAAAACAATACTTGTTGGAATCGAAGAATGGAAACGACTGTATTTAATTTCATTGAAAAACAAAACTCAAACAATGTGCATTACATTCTTCAAATACACCGATGAGAACGGACAAAAGCTATCAGTCGCACCAAAGACCGTTGAAGAATTACAAAAATGCTGTGCGATCTACGAGCGATTGAGAACCGAGGTCGATGATAGTAAGTGTAATTTGAACAGCTTGCGCGATCAATTCGATGTGCTACACAAATATGGTGTTCCGATCGATGATCAACTAAACGGTGTGCAGGAAAATATGTACGCACAATGGGAAGATTATTTAAAAAAACTAAACGATGCTGACGAAGTGCTGAATAATGCAAAGGATAGCTTTAAATTGACATTAGAGAGTACAAGAAAAACGCCAGACTTTTTCCAATGAAAAGTAATCAACTAATGAACGTACTATCTTCAGCTTGTACATGGGTACACTTGCGTACACTGAACTTACCAACTTACACAAATGTAGCAAAGGAAACCAATAAAAAGACGATAGAGAAAAAAACTAACAAATTGTATCTCTTTTGTGATTCTCGCAGACCTACCAAGGTGCATTCGAGTTTTTTGTTACTGCTCGCATCATCGACAAAGTCGGATGAATGTATAGAAAAGTGTATCAAGCTGTTTATCTATTGGCATTTTTATAGTCTTTTCTTCAAACGATCGAGTACTGTACTGGAGTATTTCATTCATCGACCAAAAAGGTTTATATTTACGCGTCGTTTTCTTCATTTCGTTTATTCCACTTTTATATTTTTATGACAAAAACTTACTCATTCTTTCATTTCCTTTTTTCTATATCGCAGAGAAATAGAACATTATTTCTCAGACAGATCCAATGTATATATATATATAGATATATGTATCAAAAGCACCGACGTAATGCGTGTCGCATAGAATGAATTGGAATGGAATGAAAAGAAAGCAGAAAAAATCAATGATCCAAGTGTTTGGATAAATGTCGAATACTATTATTGTCGCATAAGCACTTGCTTTCTACATTTTTTGGGGACGTTTCAATCTGGTATTTTATTCATCAATTTTTTATAGGGACTTCCACCTACGTTTAATTATGGATTGCTTAGGGTTAATGTTCTTTCAAATGAATTGTATTCCTTTTAGAAAGCCCAATATTATGTAGCATAGAGAAATTCATTACCACCCGTTTATATCGTTTCCAACACGGCTCTCAAAACAAATCGTTTTTTTTTTAATCTGTTGTGTGAACAAAAAATTATGTTTTGTTCATTTCAAGAAAGGAAAACCAAGAATATACATTTTTCTAGGGTAAACAAGAAAAGAGACATTATGTATATAAGGCGAACGCAGCATTGCAATTTGTAAAGCGACAATCTTTCTAT